GGAGAAAAGATGCTGCGCGTGCACGAGGAAGAAGCAGGATGGAAGGCTCCCGATGTGGGGGCGGCGGATGCGGCGGGAGGGGTGGTAGGAGAGAATACGAGCGAGAGAGAGAAAACGGGATGACGAGACAGAGAGAGGGAGAGAGGAGAGGAAAGCCGGAACGACCCGGGGGTTGCCGTGGTGCTATCGACCGGGCCGCGGAATCAAACCAGGCGTCGGCGCCGTGGCTGTCCCGGCTTCCTCGAGTGCCGGACCATCCTCCACCACCATCACCGCCGCCACCACCACCGTCGCCGCCACCACCATCGCACCACCACCAGCGGCAAGAGCAGCAGGCACCAGCACCGCCACCTCCGCGGAGGTCGCACGGCTGCTGGCCCTCGGCGCGTTAGTAGTGCCCGGGACAGACAGTCGATCGCGCGCACGAAGGGTGCGGGTCGTCCTGGGGGTTGGCTGTGGGTACGGATTTGGTCGGTCGGCTGGCCTCGCGTTGCTCCGGCAGTTCCGCTCTCGCATGCACCGTCGCTCGCGGCGAATCGTCGTCGCGTGGCAATTCAACAGTTGCGGGCGAGAAGGTGCTCAGGTGGAGAGTATGTCGAGCTGAGGCGGCAAGCGTCTAAGCGCCCGCTCTATCGCCGCCTGACGACGCTCCGGGCGATTCGGACCGCGCTCGGATCTGTAACAATTCGTTCCCGAGAGCGTAACGTCAATCCCGGACTCCTAACGTGATGCGAGCCGCGTCGAATGGATCGAAGCGTTACGTGTTGGTGCGTGTGGTGCCGGAGCGATAGGATCGAAATTGTCTGGACCAGTACGGAAGTTATCTGACCGAAAGTGAACCGCTATGCACTATGTGATACGAGAAGACAACCCTAAGTAACAAGTTGGATGTTTCTCGGTGCGTTCCTCTCATTTTTCAAGATTATCTCCTGTAGATGCGAATGCAAGATTCTCCCCGCTCGATAATTGAGCTAAACGAATGGCATTGGCTCAGTAAGAACGCATACCGTGCGTAAGACTGTATTAAGTCGCTTTCGTAGACTTTACCTTTTTCATTATTCAACGAATCTGAAACATATGGCGTCGGAACATCGATGATAGCTCCGAGATTTGAAGAAATCCGCGTATCGTTTTCGATCAATATTCGAGTTTGTCGCGTACGCATATATTGCAGGGAAAAGTTAAATTATACCAATAAGGTGATAATTGCGCCGTAAACTTTCGTCAATTATTGTCGCCCAACAATTGATCATAATTCTTAATCCATCCTGATTTCACCGACATTTTTTGAAGATCGAGTATATTCGGACATTACGAAATATATATTAAATAAGTTCCGTATTAAATATTTAAATAATTTTTGTAATTATTCCACATACATTTATTTTATATAATTTTGTAATATATTCGCGCGCGTTATTTTAATTTCTTGTTGAATTGAATTTTTTTCACAGACAACAACCCTCGCGTCTCGTTTTGTTGGAAAATGCGCATAAATATATCAAGCCGTAGGATAAAATAAAAGTACAAATACATTAACTTTTTGTCGTTCGTAGTAATTGATGTACCAGTATCAGATTATTTTAATCTGATCGTCTCTCAACATTTTATTATACACAAAACTTGAAATAATTTGACGATAAATTCAGTGAAAAGAATCTCATTTTGAAGTGACATCTCAAATCTTGGAAGACAGAACTGTAATTGAGAATATTCCCGTCTCTTTCTTTTTGTTTCGCACGCAAATTCAAAATCTCGGTCATATCTCGTCAATTAAAATGATTACACAAGAATAGAGTCTAATGCACAGGAAAGAATAGAGACAAGGGAACCCGAAAGCTGCGAGGCTAATCCTCAATTTCGAAGATTGTGGGGGAGACCCGTGATTTTGTAAAATGGATCACCATCAATTTTCTTTGACTCATCCATTTCTTGCAGGATGCGCTCTCGTTGATCCGTGCAAAAATGTCAAGCCGGCACTCGCGCAATTTCCGCGATAATATATCGGCGTTTTTCGCGAGGGATCCGTTCTTCCTTTCGCATAGTCGTTGCTGCCTCGATAATTCCTCATAGATTCTTCTCCGTAAATCCGGAAACTTGGAACTTATCGCTCCTCTCGGTGAATTATTAATCGTCCGGTCATCCCCTCCTCCCCTCTCTTTCCTGCCCCCCCCCCCCACCTCGCAATTAGCGCGAGCCCCGGAATTTAATTTCACTCGCCAGATTGTCGCGCTTATGATTCGGCAATGGCATCTCGTTTTTGCTCGCTCGCTCAGAACGGCGCGGAATCGGAGCATAATCCGACGATAGTTTGCTCCTCTTTTCGAACTTACGAGCCTGCGATGGCATCGCGCAGCTCCGTCGACGAAAGACCCTCGGGGAATCCGATCTGCAAAGTACTTGGAAGACAAGTCAGGCTAACTCGAGAATCGGGAATACTCGCGCTATAATCGACACACTCGCTTCGTGTGACGAGAGTGCGAGGAAAAAAAGGCAGAGACTCGTATTCGTACGTGAAATTAACCTGCGAATTAATTGCGTCGGGAAGGCATTGAATTAATCAAGCTTTGTTTAACATTGAAATTGCAGATATAATTAGCATTTGAACTTTCAAATAGCCATTTACGTGGCGCGCCATTTACATTCGAGCGAACTTTGCTTTCATAATTCTGAAGTTTCTTTCACAGATAAGCCATGAATGGCGTTTATAAATAACATGGAAAATATCATGGCAGTTACGATTTATATTAATCTCTTTTGACGGACGGCCCCCTCTGTGTTTCTTCAAACTAATGAAAGGCTAAATGGACGCACGGGCAAGAGATATTAGGGATAATTAAGGTCTTCAATTTTAATCTCCACTTTACCTCTCGTTTGTTTTTCGCAATTACAGTAATACTTATTCGTCACTGTCAAGAAAGTAGATGGTTCTTACTTCGGCACGTTCGCCGGAAGTTTCGGAAAACAAAAGTAACGAGCGCAAGAAAATGCCCGCGTTTGTATGGCTTGTCTTAACAATTGCGCGCTCGGCGAAGTATGAGACTATTACGTCGTCTCGCCACGTAGGTGGGCCCTCGCGGAAAAATGGCATGCCATTTCGCCCCGCGTTCGGAAAAAGGGCGTTATGAGAGCGTGGCCGAAACTTGGTGATAATTTAAACGCAAACTGCCTCCTCTCCCCCTCCCTCACCTTCGGATAGGGGCTGAAACGTTACCGAAGCCGTAGCGCCGAATGCACCGAGGGCCAGGGAATATAGTTTATCTCAAGTTGGAAATTGGAAATTCTCGCATAGCCACAGTTGAATGCTATCGGATTTCGCGTTATTCGAGCAGCTTGAGCAACTCATTCGAATCAAACTACATCGTCATCGCAATTAATTAGATTTTACCGGGCGACCGGATCGCGCGATTCGATTTTTCGCCGCGGTCTTGCAATGTATATTAATTACTAATTTAGCGTACGTAAATTTCAAGTCCGGCGTCGCTGAATTCACCGAAAATTCGATCCAAAGGGTCGATGCATACATCTGCATATTAATACGCAATCGGAACGGTCAAATTTGCGCTATTACCACAATGGGGTCAGTTTTCACCGCAATAATACATGGAAATATATATATTATCGCGGATTGGAGTGCAAAATGACTGCTTCGTTTCTCGTCATTTTACAAGAAATGGAAGGGGGGAGAGCGGGCTTCAGAAATTACGTCGCATTGATAGCAAAAATCAGCCAACTGAAACCCGGACATTCTGTTTGTTAGACGTAGTATTCGATTAACTGGGGAAATACATGCGTACGAATATCAGGAAGAGGCATATTTTCAGAATAACCGATAAGGCGAATAATTATAGAAAATACAGATGCTGAGAGAACCTTGAAATTTGCCAAACTGCCGCAGGATCAAGACAGGGTTGGGAAGGGAACGTCGTTGGGGGTACGCACACGCTTCACGCACGATCGTCCCCTAGAAAGTATATCGAGCATACATTTTTCCGGTTCACTGGGCGGACAGCCCAGCAATTTTCGCGCCATTCGTTCTCGGGTACGAGCAACATCTGTCCGCTTGAGGTTTCGCAGAATTTTCAATTGTCCAGGTGCCGGCGATCACTTCTCAAGTTTATGAATTTATTATACCGGCGCGACTGCCATCGAGTCAGTCGAACGTGACGCGAAATTAATTTTCCGGAGAAGCCGCGTTAACGAAGCGCTCTTTATGCGTCTGTTGCAGCGTGTTGCGGCGCGCGACGGGATGAGAGCAGGTGGTTTCCGACGAGGCCAAGAAACGGACGCTCGAGGCTCGAAGGTTCGTCGTCGTATGAGCCTCCTCTCTCGAGACGAGGCGTAGCATGTGCGTCGAGGACATTGAGGATTCCGCGTGAGTCGGCGGCTCCGAGGGCGGTGCGTCGAACCATCGTACCCCGGGCGCCGATGATTCCGCCGGGCTCATTCACTGCCGACGGCTCGAATTCGTCGATCGTCATCAGAGCGTCGTGTATACGCGCGTGTCGCGCGGCAACGACGATCGGTCGCCAGATTGGCAGCTCAGCGGCAACGCACGCACCTGAGAATGGAAGTGAGAGTTTGCTCGGAGCCGATCAGCAGCAGCAGCAGAAGCAGCAGCAGCAGCAGCAGCAACGCGATATCGAGTCGCTTTTCTGAATTCGAGACGGCGGACGGGGAGCGAAAGCCGCTTGGAGGGTGCGGGACTGGAGGTGGCGGCAAGCCGTACCGGAAGCTGTGGGAGTGGGTGGACGGCGGCGACTGGATAAGGGTGGTGGCGGCGGCGGTAGTGCGGAAAGGGGCGCAGGAGGGCGGGCGCAAAAAATTGCCGACGGCGGCGGCGAGGACGGAGGAGCGAAGGACAGGCGAGAAGGCGGCGGCGAACGGGAAGGGAAAGCGGAAAGCGAAATCGGGAGCGGAAGAAGAAAGGGGTCGTCCATCGGCAGGAGGGCCCCACAGATGCGGGGCCCGCAGGGGCCAGTCCGCGGCGGCGTGACGCGATGCGGACGTCCTCCTCCTCTTTGCCGAGGAAGAGGAAGAGGAAAGACCTCTCGCCTCCCGACACCGTCCTTCTCGGCGATTGGCGATCGTCAGTTAAGCATGTCCTCCGACAGCAGTGTCCTCCGCGGCACGATATTATCATATCGTATCGGACGCGGCACGATGTTCTTCGCCGGGGACGAGACGTTCCCTCGGTGTATCGTGAGCCTCCTGGCAAGCTGGGGAATTGCCAAACGAGCGCGATTCCCGGCAAACGGTGCTGGGGACGAAGAAAGCGGAAGGGAGGCAAATGCGACAAGGGGAGCGACGACGAGGGAAATGAAGGAGAGAGGCGACGACGAAGTACTGAGGATATCGCGAGTAAAGGGACCCTTCGGAGGGTCTCGTTCGACGGCGGCATCGCCAAGGGCGTCTTCCTGCTGGCGCTTCTCTGCGCTCAGTGCTGCCTGGCAGGTACCGAGGCGCTGGCCGGCGCTCAAAAGTACTGCACGAGAACGGTCAAGACACGATACGGCTTGCTGCGCGGCATCGAGGCCAGATCGTCGACAGCCGTCGAGACATATTACGGCGTGCCGTACGCGACGCCGCCGCTTGGCTCGTTGCGCTACATGCCGCCGGTCACCCCGACACCCTGGCGCGGCACCAAACTCGCCGACACCATGCCGCCGGCCTGCCCGCAGCGGCCGCCGGCACCGGACGACAGCCTGCCGCGGCAGAGGCAGGCCTATCTCAAGAGGCTGGTGCCCGTACTGGTCAACCAGAGCGAAGACTGCCTGTATCTGAACCTCTATGTGCCCAAAGCTCCTCACGGTAAGTCACGTTAGCCTAAAGAATGAATGAAAAATATTGCTCGGTAGAATAAAGAATGCTTTCGTTTTATTATTAATCGTTGCTTGAGGAAAAATCCTATTCCATTGTCGCAAATGTATTTCATTGTAAATGTAATATTCTTTTTTGTATGCTTATATTACAGGAGGAATGATAAAAATATTAATATCTACAATTTACAAAATTATATTACTCTCGACTAGCCGTTGTGCTTTGTGAAAAATAAAATTTCTTTGCAGCCCTTTAAAAGATAAATCGTCGACAGATTAAAAACTGTGATAAATTAAAGATTATTAGATAAAGAGACGTGAAATATGACGGATGAAAAAAACGTGAAAATGTTTCGACACTAGGGTGCATTTATTATACTTTTTTTACCAACTGGAAAACAATGTTGAGAGTTTGTAACAATATTTTCGATATATTTCGTAAAACTTACTTTCTGCTTGTTTACAATAAAAAGACCGTATTCTAAATCCTAAACAAAATTCTCGTGAAAAATACGTGAAAAACACGTAAAGCTTGCGCAATGCACACTATTTGGGAAATCCTAGCTGCTCTACGCGCCGTACGGTCCATTGTCGAATGCAAAATTCGTCGCGGAAACATAAGCCGAACTTTTCGGGATGTATCTTCCGATGTAAAGTTTTGCGATATTTTCGCGAGACTCTGTTTCGCAACATTGCACCGTCCAATTTTAGGGAGATTGCCTAACTTGGTCGAAAGCGCGTCGCTAACCACCGGACGGCAAGAGAGAGGCGCAATTTCATTCCGCGATAATCTGATTATCGGAGCGTTCGGGAATGCAGCGTCGGCGCGTTATGACACGTGACAATGACATCGCGCGCGTACAATTCCGCGCGACAAGTAGATACGTAGACGCGTATCCGCGGACTGATTCACGCGACCGTTTTTATTTTTCTCACTCGTCGTACGCGCCTGTGTACGCGGGCCCGGCTAGAGATCCGCAGAATTTTGCAAATGACATTCCGCTTCCGCTGAAATTACGTCCGGCCGATTCAGGCTATTTATACCGCGGATCCTCGCTGGGCGAGACTACACGTGCCTGTACTCTGCACAGCGGTAGGTACGTCCGGTAATTCGGTCGAAAGTCCAAACATAACGAACTCTCATGAAAGTAGAATTATCCATCTAGAAATTATTACCTTCCCTCGTATCGCGTCGCGAGGCAACTTAAGTGCTATCGTCCGCATTTGGAATTTGGATGAACTTTTCAGCGCCGGGAGACGTGTTGACCTTAATTGCTTGCTTAAGCTTCTTGCTGATGAAAAATACAGAGAGAGAGAGAGAGAGAGAGAGAGAGAGAGAGAGAGAGGGGGGGGGAGACCTTTGAACCAGCTTGACGGTATAAGGTTGTCTCATGAATGATCCATGCGCGATATTACGTGATATCACGATCACTGATTACCATAGCGTATATCTTTCACCCCGTTTTCCCATCCCATCCCTTCGGGTCTCCATCCAGCACGGCTGAAATATCGAGGCGCGAAGAGAGCGCGGGAAGATTACAGGCGGCTGCGAACAATTCGTTTCGCCGGCGACAATTTCCGCCAGGTTGTTAGAGCTAATTTCAATACGCTGGCGTACACACGTTAGCTGAGAGGGCGGGAGGAAAGAAGAAATACACACTGCGCGTCTCGCGCGGAGCGAGAGCTCGATGCGGCGGCCTCAGTAGTCGCGATTTCGCGCTGTCGCGACGCTGGTTTTCTTCGCAAGAAAACTCCCCCGCCCCCTTTTTACCCCTTTTCTCTCCCCCGGGCTCTTTCTCTCGGCTCTTTGCGTGGGGGGATAGAGCGCGGGAGCGGGTGTCCGTAACAAAAGAGCGGATCGATCGACTCGCGGAGACGCTTTTCTGATTGCGAATACAGCGAGGGACTTTCAGATGAAGTGTAAACGCGAACCAATATACGGATCATAGATATTGAGATCAACAGCGAGAATACATCCCGCGATAAATTTTCAGATAAGGATTCGACCGGATTTGTTGAATTCTGTAATATTCCCGATTGTGTGTGTATATAGAGATCTGACCTAGTTTGGCTCGCGAACAGTTTTGGCTTTGCCGTGCTTCAAGATAAATATGTCTATTCCAATTTTCGCTAAGAGAGCGCGCGGATACGCGCGCGCGCGCGCGCGCCCAGGAAAATATCTCTTTCGCAGGGAGATCCGCGCGCCGTGCATTAATAAAAAGGATCCGTACGAAAAAATTAATTCTCCGCCCGAGATAACGCGGATGTGGGATTAATTAAAAGCGAAGGCGCGATCTCCGTGATCTCGCCGTAAGGCGCGATCGGACGGAGATAGCGCACGTATGAGAGACACCGTAGGAGCCGCGATACGCGAGATCCGCTCGCGATCTTACCGCTTTTTGCTCCCCCGTGGGATCTCTCGCGGAGAGGCCGCTATTACGCTGTCGAATAAAAAGCCGTAACTACCCGACGTTTCAGCCGGATTAAAGAGAACGAGCCGTCGCTTGTTTCCTTCGCTATCGCGCTGAATCCTCCCGCTACTTTTTACGGAAGCGAGCGCTTTTTCCCCGTGCTTGTCTCTCACCGGCGACGGCAGGATGGTGCAAACACCGCCATCATCACCCGCTATCGTCGCTACTCGCGCGTAAGCAGCTTAGTTTTCGATCTTCCATTTCTGGATATCGTCGCGAGTTTCAGCCGAGAGGCTGAACCCCCTCAGCGGCGCGCGCGCCCCGCGCGAGAGGGACGCGTTATTGAAACGCGACCGCGTCGATATCTTTGGCTGGTTCTACCGTAGACGCAGCAAGCCGCAAGAAATCGACCAGTCGCAGCTAAATATGAGAGGAATAATCGACTGTCATTGGCCGATTTCTTGCAGCTTGCAACTTGCTGCGTCGTTTATAGTGTAACTAGTAGGTCCACTCTCTGTCGGTCCCTTTAATCTTCGCGGTTAATTGCTTTGGTCAACTATCCAGCGGCGGGTGTGTGCGTCTGTGTGCACGTACTCGTCAAAGCTACACTGCCAAACATATAATACTTTTCAACATCAGTAATTTTTATTGACCGTATCTGGCAATTTTAATAATACAGAAAATTTATTGCGAAAAATATTACCTCAGAGTGAAGGGAGGTCGAGGTTCAAACCCTGGCTGAGGTAATATTTTTCGCAATAAATTTTCTGTATTATTAAAGTTGCCAGATACAGTCAATAAAAATTACTGATGTTGTTAATTACTGCTGGCGACTTTTAAGAGTATTTTCATTATACGATACCTTTCTCTCATTGGCTTGATCAAAATAATGGCGGATGCGCAGAAGGGATCGACGCAAAACCAAAGAAATGACGGAGCTACATAGATCTTATACAAGATCTATGTAGATCCAGCTTTTACGGGATTTAAATGCAGCCGGAACGTTTCTCAATCCCGATCGTACAAGGGTGACGCTTAGGATTAGGAATTTACATTGTTTTACTTTAATTTGTAACTTTAATTCCGCCGGAACTTATCGCGCGAGATAAAGATGAAGAGGACCGATGATGCCCCACGACGGAGAGGCTCGAGCTCGACCTCGCGATTTGCATTAAAAGTTCCGACGCAACGTTAAAAGTGTAATTCGCAAACAACTGGAATAAAAGTTTCGTGTCGGATGAAATATCGGGATCGTACGGAGTTACGAGTAATACATAGATTGCGCGAGGGGGGGAGGAGGACGCGTAATACGCCGTACGTCACGCGGAATTCGTGCCTCTCTTAGCGGCATTGCGTTTATCCGACAGATCGAGAGCTCTTTCGTCTTGGATCATCGTCGCGAAATTACTTTTACGGTTATATCCTACATTTGTTATTACGCAATGGCGACGACGGCTCGTAACTCCGGACGATCCTCCGTCCCGAGTGCTCGTGATACCGTTCATGGCTACGGCGAGCGGGAAAATAATCACGACTTGCGACTAATGTAAACGCAAGAAGCGGACATTTTTATTTTGTACACGCGATTATGAGTCGCACTTATTTCACTCGAGTGTAATTATGGTTTAAGAAATGAGATATTATCCATGGATATATCGCGAACAGAAAAATAGCTAGTCTGCGATTAAGTGATACTCGTAACACCCTGTATATTTAATATGTGACTTTTATTCAATTTGATTGCGATATAAAAAAGATATTATCCACTGATATATCGCGAAGAAAAAAAACGGCTAATCTGCGATTGATTTACTTATTTAATATAAATATAACGCGAAGAATAAAATCGCCGTGTATGCAGGTATACTAAATATATTGCGTGCAGATGTTCTAAATTTCGAAACGACCGGTAGCATGTACAATAGTTGCATTTATAACACACTGTACTGTAGAAAGAGGCAGCGAACCGCCTCTCCTTTCATTATTATTTGGCGATTGTTTTTATAATGTAATTTCAATTGCAATGGAATTCTGCGACGGTGCCGCACAGTGGAAATACTTTGTGTGGAAATAACGGACTCGTTGATGGATCTCGGGCTCGATCTCTCATCTCGTATGCGGATTTAAAATTCGAAATTGGATCTAGATAACAAATCTCCCTTCGGTGAGACCAGCAGCCCGTTGAAAAGGGAATATTTACATCTGGTCCCAACAACAATACGGGTTAGATTACAAAAGAAGAAGAGAGACAATCCTGCGAATGTGCCATATTTTCTTCTTCATACCGTGAAATTTAACTATACGTTTCGTATACACGCACCGATCATCTTTCATTTATGTCAGCCGCTCGCGCGCGAACGTTATTCTTTGTGACGCGATCACTCGCGGAAAAATTTGATATAGGTAGATTTAATACAATACTCCACGGCAATATACTTCGACACACAGAGAAACGCGGCGGGGGTGTCTGTGAATGCGGACCACGTGAAAATAATATTCGGGACACCCGCGCGGGGACGTGGCGGCGGGGGTGGGGGGGGGGGTGGAGCGTCGCTCGCGAATTCATCCGGCTGTCGTTTCCCCGATCGAGCAGCGAGCATCCCCCCGGCTTTGTGCGTATTCGCGTGCCTCGCGTGAGGAATCCGTCGCTGTGAAGAAGAATGAAAGAATAAAGCGCACTTTTATCTGGGAAATGATGAGAAACCAGGGTGCCTCGGCGGCACAATGGCGAGGCCGATGCTGCATACGAGAAGAAATGAAGCGGGCCGAAGGGATCCGAGATATTGGAGGGACAAGATAAAGCGACGGCGAAAGGAGCTGCTCGAGCAGGGCGAGAGGCTGAGAGAAAGAGGAAAATGGAGAGAGAGAGAGAGAGAGGGGGGGGGGGGGGAGAGAGGGGGAGAGGGGAAGAGGGCAAGAAACTACTGCAAAGGAATGCAAGTGTAAGGATGCGTTGCACCCTCAATTCCGTAGTGCATTGCAGTCGATTATTTGATTCACGTGAGAGAACCTGCAAGCACCGCGGGAGTGAGGGAGCTTCGTATCGGATCGACGTTCTTCTTCTCCGGCTGCTGCGACATTAATCTAAAGAGGGGATAATGAAGAGGACTCTCTCCCGGGAAGTGCCGGCATGCATGCGCGCGCGTTAGGATCGATTCTTTAATCCGTTCGCACTTAAAGGCCGCGGTCGAGGATCGATCGTTATCCATCGTCGACGTAGAGCGGTAGAGAATCTGGAGAAGCTGATGGAAATTTTAATTAACTGTCCCGACCTTATACCAGGGTTTTTAACTGTGCTCATTTAAACAGTCCAGCGAGAGGACTGTAGGGTAGTGCCTGTTTAAGTAAATCCGATTCCGAATGTGTTTGTAACTCGATCTTCCATAAAATTGCGGAGCTAAGAAAAAAAAAAGCGACGGGACGAATATTTGCGTTGCACGCGCCGCCTCGCGCGTATAGCGCGATAATGTAGAACTCGGTTAAAGAATATAGGCGCACAATACGGCGCCCTTCGTCGTTTTTTACTGTGCAAGGGCGCCTTGGGAATGCCTCAAAATTGCTGTTAGTTCACGATAACAAGTTCGCGATCTCTCGTTAAGACCTCGAGATAACGACCTTTTCGCATTAGGAGGAAACTTTGGTACCTGATATATGCCAGGTCGTTCAAAAAGCTTCCTCATTTCCGAATCTCTGCTAACTTGCTTATGAATTTATTGGTCCTCCGTATCTACCCCTCTCCCTTTCCCGACATGTTATATAATCGTGTTATACGCCGAGTTGGAACGTATGTATAGAGGCCCGCCGCATATATGTCTCGTACGTGCAAACCCAGAATTTCACCCGTCGCCTGTGATAGAAGATTATACTCCCGCTATTGTCGTTCTATAAAAAGACATAAAAGATAAAAAGTACATGATTTTCTCGATAGTTTTACCAATTCACAAACAGAATAGAGCTCGTAAAGTCATCGAGACACCGTGTTAACACGGAAAAAAACATTTAGCTGCTGTAGCTAAAACTTGGTAAAATAGGGACAGCTAATATTTTTAGTTGTGATAGCTCAATATTAGCTGTCCCTATTTTACCAAGTTTTAGCTACAGCAGCTAAATGTTTTTTTCCGTGTAACAAAAGCTTAAAGAAATACTTAACGGCAGAGGATAGTCATGTTGAACGAACAAATGGAAAATTATTCCCATTTAACTAAAAACTCTCCCTGCATGGAATCACATTTCCGCCGAGAATTGTATTATTAAAATTAATTAATTAATGGCACTTTGGATAGAATATTGGAATTTGATATTATTCCTAAATAGATTAAAAGAGCGGCAGTAGATTTTAGTGACAATAGCCTACACGGAAAAAAGAATATTCTTCTTTTGAAAATATGTTTAGTCTCAATGTGAAAATCTTGAAATGTGAGATTATATCGCGTTAAAGCAAGAAAAACTTACTTGAGTGAAGCAATTTTATATAATTCAATCGAGAATAATTTTCTTGAATGGGAAGGAAACAATATTGGATAGAAAATAACATATTTTCAAATCGAAGTTCAAAATGATTTGATTGTTAAAAAAATTATACGTTTTCTTGAAGTGACAATTATAGTATTTAGATAAGACTGTAATACTGTTAAAATGTAAGATTATGAAATGCTTTTAAGGGGTTATTCCACTTTAGTGGCTCAAAAACTATGCTTACCTTTAACAATTTTTTTTCACAGTAAATACTCCATACAATGAAATAAATCTTTTTAGGATTTATTAGAGCACTCTTAAATAACACACAAAATTTTTGTCATAATTTAAACAATTTTTTAATTAAGCGTTTTCTACACCGTTCGAATGGCGTGTCGAAAAAGATGCGAGTCCTCTGCGTTGATGACTTTTATATCATTCAGGCTTACCTGAAACAAAAAATCAAAAAGATTCTTAATCAGTGAGTGTGAGTGTCGCTATGTCCCGAACCTCAGTTAAGAATTTTTATTTAAAAATAACAAAATGCTGCCAGTTTGAAAAAAGTTTTAAAAAGTACTTTTCAAAACTTTTATTAAACTGACACCATTTTGTTATTTTTAAATAAAACTTTTTTAACACGCCATTCGAACGGTGTAGAAAACGCTTCATTAAAAAATTGTTTAAACCATGACAACATTTTTTTGGTATTATTTAAGAGTGCTCTGATAAATTCCAAAAAGATTTATTTCATTGTATGGTGTAATTACTGTGAAAAAAAATTGTTAAAAATAAGCACAGTTTTTGGGCCGTTAAAGTGGAATGACCCCTTAAGAACGTTATAAATTTTTGCGTATATACAAAGCAGCGAACGCATTAATTTGAGTATACAAGAGTTAATCTGACACCTTTTTTTCTCCTGTGTAGCGAATAACTAAACTGGCGTATCAGCACTTTGCGTTGATAAAAAAAAATCTATAATTTATGAACTTCCGAGCGGCGCGACAAAGATGAGTCGATACCGAGGAAGCAATAAAAGCACCGAGTCGCTCGTAAATGTTTTGAGATACGATCGCAAACGGGCGGCCGGGTAGAAGCTGGTTTTCGCAGCTCCCAATGGAAAAATACGCACGGCGGAATCACGGAAGACGGCGGTGTCCCGCGCGCGCATTCGCCTACTCGTTCACCTACTTAACTTTCTGTCGTCTAGCGCTATCAGGATCGCAACAGGTGTCTCGCCATCACTTAGCTCGGCATGATAGTTCGTTCCCGGGATGATTATATTTCGATCGCCGTTGCGCATTACGGGGAATTTGACGTCGCGATTGATAGAGACAGCTGCATTACCCTGCCAGGAGCTAAGAGAGGCAGTAAAATGCAGATTTTATGGAAAATTTCCCTTCGAGATTTACGTATAAATCGACGTTTCTCGCTCAAGTGGCTAAACGCCTCGTAATTTACAACATTTAACCTGCCCAGAGTCACCCATGCCAAACTGACGTTTTCTTTACACGCGTGAAGTATCGGGAATCGCAGGTTAGATATTTAACAGCTCACTGATTAAAAAAATATGTTGTAAAGATAGATACGTCGTTATAATTATATTGAATACGAAATAGATATTTTTAGACATCGATAGCCCTTCTATAAGCCCTGCGTTTTCGTGCGGAACGTAATTTTTTCGTGAAACACCAAGCACAATTCACCACTTAACTTTGATTCTAATTTAATTCATTCTTCGTCTCCTTCTACGGGGACAGTCGGAATGAAACGAAGGGTGAATTAAACTGAGATCAAAGTTAAGCGACGTTAGTGAAACCGGGCCCAAGTGTTATACGGTGCCATCGCGGATTCGTAACGCGTGTTTTATAAACCGCAGGCTTGTAAAGCCATAAAAGTTTAATCTCGGTAAGGGGAGACTCCGTAGAAATCTAAACTTTTTTATTATTCGAGCGTTTTTATCTGACCACGCCTAATCTTTCCGAAAGCGCTTAATCGCACTTACGTCTCGTCGCATTACGACAGAATTAGCTTTGTATGCACACTTTTGCTCGATCTCACACCGTACAGAGAACGTATCGAGATCGGATTGCAATTTCCCGGCGAGAATTGTAATCCGAGTCATACAAATAAAATATTTGCCGTCGAGGACAATTGAGGTGATTACAAACGTCGTGCAATCAACGTTTTCGTCCGACACGATTATTATGTAATTTAGGCGGCGCGATAATGCGTCTCGATAACGCAATATAGGTTTCTTATCTACGTACACGCTCCGTAATTCTTATCTGTACGCTCCTTCTTGTGTTCGTGTTATATTTATTCGCGCGTGCATCGCACTTGGTTGTTTTGCAGAGAGATATCGTGGTAGAATGTCCTTTAATGTTGCAGGTAGCATTGCGGACTCGCTACCGGCACTCCTCCTTATTCATGGCGATTCCTATTCGTGGGGCGCCGGAAATTCATTTGACGGGACCGCCCTGGCCGCCCACGGACGCCTTATTGTCGTCTCCATCAATTTTCGTCTTGGCGTGCTCGGTAAGCTGGCAATACTTATTCAATGGTACAGACCGCCGCCGCGTTCCGTCGTATCGGAACGCAGAACACGCCACGTTCGCTGTTATTTTATTCGAGCGCGTTCGCGCACGTCGTAATCGTTCGCGGGGCGACGAAGCGGGGCATCTTTTAAAGAAATCGCACGTCGCTCGTCGCTTTGTCTCGGGACACGAAAATAATACATTTCCTCCCGCTCGCCGTTTGTAAAACTGTGTTTCTGCGCAGGCGGTAACGGCGGGGTGTGAAATAATTCCAGCGCGTTTCCGTTGCGAAGAATCGCGCGATCGAAACAATTATTTTCTTGGATAACGAGCGTTTCTCGATGACTGACAATTTGACACCTCGATCAATACCCAATAAATGCGCACGTCGCGCCAAGAAATTATTGTCTCGGGCGTAACATAATGGCGGACAACACGATAATCGGGCATTCGCATTACTATTTCGTACGCGACGGCCGATAGAAAGTTTTCGCGTTATAAAGTACGCCACGAGTTTACCGCGCTTTGTTTATTACACAGCGCGACTGGCTCTTTTGTTCTTTCGACAGAGTTAAAGGAATGATCTCATTATTCGTGGCAGCTAGGAGGGAAAGTTTGTCGAGATCTTACAAGATTACTTTCCGTGCAGTTATATATGGAAATTCCCCTCCGGGGGTTGTTACTTCTGCGATAGTTGAGACTCTTTAAAAACACGACGTCAACTCGGATATATAGGCGACAGGACAAAGATACAAGATGTAGGATGCGTTTTTCTGCAAGAGGGACAGGGAGATAGAGAGAGAGAGAGAGAGAGAGCGAGAGGGGGTGAGAAAAAAGAAAAGGGGCAGTCGGCGTGTGCGTGTGCCAAAATTAAAACGCGGGAACAAAGGGGGAAGAAACAAAGGGAGTTTAATGAGGACGAAGAAGGGGACACGTAAGGCTAAGGGTGTTTTCATGCGAATGGATTTTCGCGCTCGTTTGTCGTACGACCGGCTTTTGAGCATCCGCTAAATATCGTGCGCATAATTCGAACTCGAGCGCTGCGGGAATGGCTGCGTGAAGTGTAATCGATATTCGGCGTAATGCGAGAAGTCGGAACGGATCCCCCGTCTCGTTCGCGGCGGGCTTGCGTTGTTCCCGGATAAATCTCTCTCTCTCTTTCTCTCTTTTTTTTTATTTTATTTAGTTAATTCACAAAATGTATTTTATCTTCCAGCCGGCGCGAGGCGAGGCTGCGATTTCACGTTAATTAAAAATGTATTACGCATCCGTAACGCGCGGTTCTCGCATCACGCCTTATTATCGCGCGATGCACCCGCATTGGTTTTAATCCTGTATTTATCCCGGCCGCGTTATTTCGCAGCCGCGATATTTAAAGGTTCGAAAATGCACCTAATCGCGGATAAAACGATAAACAACGTATTATTCGGAAGGTACGCCAGGCGTGTTTACAACCGCCGTATCTCCCATTCATGAAAGAAGCCCGGGGCAGTGAGTGGAACAATTTTCGATATCGATACGCCGTATTTTCACCATACCGGCGCTGGTTTCGCGCTTCCCTTTGTCGGCGCGCTGCAGTTCCGCATGCGTTTTGTTCATCGTTGGAGCGAAACAATGCCCGCGGCGTTATCCAATACCGCATGGCCGGCCGATTCGATTTTCTTCCGTCTTTTTTCTTGTTACTTCACTTATTACTCGTGCTTTTTCACCGTTTTCACGCCATTTACGGTTTTCACGCCACTTATGGCACAAATAAATTTCCGATCGGACCATCACGTTAAACAACATTGAGCGTATCTTTCGACGCGCAGCGGGCAGCGTTCGCGCGGATATCGCCGCGCTCTCCTTTGAACGAACCTCGGCAGAATGAAAGTAAAAACGAGCAGACATGATAATTATCGAGAAACATTTGCCCTCTCGTATTTTATGCTAAAGAGATCTGGGGGGGTCTTTTTTTCGCCGCGTGAATAGCAGCAAAAACATTTATTCCATATCACTCGTGCGAGCCATTGCTCTATGATATTTTTCCGGGCGCTAAATACGAGGGTAATTAGAACTTGGTACCGGTGCAGCGGCAGATATGTGAATGTGATTAAAAGGCGAATCGAGTTGAAATGGAAAACTCTCCTCGTAGGCGGACGGCGAGGCAAAGTGACAAGCCCATAGGTGGAGTCGGTACGGCAAATTGAAGCGGGCGGGATTGAGTGCCGGCGAGCAAATATTTAATTTTAATCTGGTTTATTCTCCGGGTTCACCGTCGCTCTCTCCCGCCGCTTACAATAGCTACGTTTGTACACGCACGCGTGTGGGTATCCCGGACTTTCGTCCCCGCAACGATAACTAACTTAGCGGTAATTAATTAACTCCGACGATCCTTTCGCTGCTAAAGCAGATACTAAAAGTGAGCGGTAGCTCGAAGTTTGGCGAAAGTTTGCGATTAACATAACAGAGTTTTGATCGTCCGGTTTGCGCGTAAGAAGGGCGACGCGCGCTAGGGGAAGCGGAGCAAAGAGGCTTTCTCGGGATACAGAGGGAAGAATCGTGTTCCCGGAAATGTCTGAATGGATCTTCCAAACAAGTTCTCTCTCTCCCAGCGCGACAACTTCCGCCCCTTTCTCGTCCTCGAAATAAAAGTGCGACGACGTTGCGACGCCTCGCGAAAGTCTTCCGCTCGGAATCCTCGCGAAGGCACTTAGGCCGGTTCTACGATAACTGCAGCAAGTCGCAATCCGCGAGAAATCGACCAATCACAGCCAAAGAGGAGCAGAATAATCGACCGTCATTGGCCGATTTCTTGCGGCTTGAGACTTGCTGCGTCCATTGTAACCCCTGGTCCACAATCTTGCTTTAAGTAAGCTGTAAGCCTTAAGCCGTAAGAAATTAACCAATCACAGGCATTTATTCCCCTCACTCTCACCTGTGATTGGTTAATTTCTTACGGCTTAAGGCTTACAGCTTACTTAAAGCAAGATTGTGGACCAGGGGTAAGGCTTGTGTCCACGATGCTAGAAACTAGAACGTGGTCCAAGTTCTAGTTTCGAGAAATGTGTAACCAATCAACTTGCAGCTATTCCATAAAAGCTGCAGGTTAACTGGCTACACATTTCTCGGAACTAGAACTTGGACCAAGTTCTAGCATCGTGGACGCAGGCCTGTAGAACCAGTCTAAAGCTTATTCTACGATGGACGCTAAACGCAAGACGCTAAGCCGTAACGCAAGAAAACAGTCAATAACAGTCCATCATTTATCTCATATTTGACTGTGATTGGCCCATTTCTTGCGTTGCGGCTTAGCGTCTTGCATTTTGCGCCCATTAGCTGCGTTCGGCATTGCAAATCCGAGGCGTCGGAGTGTTCTTTTGCATTCGAGCGAGCGAGATAGGAGAATGAGTTAGAAAGGGAGGTAGAGCACTGCGACGTCTCGGATTTGCAAGCCCGAACGCAGCTATTGTAGAATAAGCTTTAAGGGGATCAGCGGCGTCCGATATTCGTGCCGCCGCGTCGATTCGTCGGCCGGGCGTAAATGAGCCAGGCTTCCTAATTCGAGCGCATGTTGAAACGACAGGCTTCCTGAAGACCGGCTCGAAGGGGAGCGCGCAGGGCAATTACGGATTGATGGATCTAGTGGCGGGGCTCCACTGGCTGCGCGAGAATCTCGGGGCTTTCGGCGGCGATCCTGAGCGACTGGCGTTGCTGGGCCACGGCACCGGGGCGGCTCTCGCCAATTTTTTAGCCGTCTCCCCTATGGCAAAAGGTAAGGCGTTTAATTGTTTCGCGGCTTGCGGCCGATCGGCTGCGCCCACCGGTTGTCAGTCAATCCACGGTTTAACGTGCCGTCGGTCGCGTCGGCCGCTGACGCGGTCCGTCGGCGTTTCTGCATGGAAGCCGATGGAAACGCGAGCTACGAGCGCGCACGCCACGAATTTGTTTATGTTTCCTTTCTTTTTTATTTTTGGACAACGTCCGCTATGGAACGTTTTGTTTATTTATCGATTTTGAGGGACGCGGTTTTTTTTTATGGTTTGCGTTGTTTTATTCTATTTTATAGCGCTTCTGGACAAAATTGGTAACATGCGCTTCTGCTCTTGTGAATTATAGTCCCGCTTACGAAGGAAGAGAATTGATTTAATCACGTTTCTCCGCTGATCGATGTCGCTGTAACTGTCTACGAAACATACTAGTTGAGGCTGATTCGTCGACGGTACAATAGTGTCTGAGCACTCCGTTAAGAAGTTTTTGTAAAATTTAGAGGGAGCTCTATAATCGCAAATGTTCCTCGTAGCACAATATATTGGCGCAATATTGGGAAATAATGTAAATCTAGTATTCCCAATATTGGTCCAATATTGTAAGATGGACGCCTTTTCTTATTTAGCCAATATTGCATCAATATTGCATCAATGTTATTACATTGTTAAGTATTGGTCAATGCACTTATAAATCTAATATTATACAATTATTATCGTGCAATATCTACATTGATTTCATGGCCAATATTGGCTTTACGTTGCCGCGGACAATATCGGCCAACGCATTTCTAATATAACCAACATTGGACCAATATTTCGCCAATGCTTAGCCAATGTACTGTGCTACTAGGGGTAGATTCTGAGAATGTTCAGAGGATATCGCAAAAGTTACGCTACCTGACTGCTCAGAATACCAAGGCGTATGGTGCATTCTGCGTAAATACGGGATATCGCGCGCTACCAGGGAGGGCTCGGCCTCCTGCTCGCATTTTCGCGATAATAAAACGCCGATAACGTTATTCCTACCGGCGTAATAATTAAAGATTTATCGAACATTCCTCGCATTTTATTAGCTGCGTTGCAATTAGCCGGACTTTTTCCGACGGGATGTTCCAGAGCTGATCGGGAGGGTGATTCTGCTCGGTGGTTCGGCCCTCTCGTCGTGGGCGGTGCAGCGGGACCCGCTGGCGGTGAAGCGCCGCGTCGCCGAGCAGACCGGATGCCCCGGTGACGTCGAGGCCGACGATGTCGCACCGTGCCTTCGTTTGAGGAGCGTGGAGGAGCTGCTGGCGGTGCAGCTGGACCCGCCGAGATTCACTTCCGGATTTGCGCCCTTCGTCGACGGGGCTGTTCTGCCACCGACAGTCAATCAGGTGAGACGATTCGCCCCCATATAATCGATAATCTCGGGACTGGGGAACGGCGGCGGGCGCCGTTTCCACTTGCTTTACGATCTGCTCTGCCCGATTGCCTCGGTTTTACTACGCCGTTAACTGTAATACTGCCATTAATTAATCTTAATTGCGGTTTAATCGATTGCGTTTGGCTGTTGCTCAGCTTGGAATTTAGAGAGACCTGTCCAAGCGAGAGATTCAAGTTAATCTCGGCGCGAACTATTATTAAAAGAATTACGTCTGTGCGCTGGGGGGTTTTTTTTAGCGGGGTTTGTAAACGACACGTTGTTATCTGTCGTTTCCGGCGCGACGTTTCGCCTCGCCGTCGTTTTTGACGTTAAGCCATTTTTCATAAAATTTGCATTTACACCCCCAGCTTTCTCGCGGAAAGCATATACACGCGCTTGTCCCGCGTCCGCCGTTTAAACGCAGATTACGCGGGGAATATCCACCGCGATGTAAATAAATATAACGGCCGGGTGTTAAATAAACATGGGCCGCGACACGCGTTTCATCCGGGCGATTACGGGATTCGCGAATGTTGTAATTGCATACGGATATTAGCCCAATGTCGACGGCCGGCCGGCCGGCGTATTGATTTTGCGCGGGAGCGAACGAGACGACAGGTAAACGATGAATCTGCTAATTGAACGGGCGACCGGCTGACGGATGACGGATCCGAGAATCGTAATAGCTACTTCGTGCATGCTCCATTAACTCATTCGTCGATAGTGTCTCCGGTTGAGCCTTCGCGCTCGTCCCGATATCGCCACGTTAAACGCGATTTCGGGAGAGATGAACAAACGTGCGACGCGCACCATCGCAATATCACGATTTACTACACAAAGCAGTCAAGCCTCTCCTCGCTCCGCGTCTCTACGGTAAAACCCGTGACGGGCGGCCAAGTCAATTTATGCGACGTTAAATAGAAATTACAAGCTTTACGTGCACAGAGAGTTCGCGCGATAGATGCGCCTGAGTGGCAGGGATTTATCTCTAATAACGAGAGAACGCGGAAAGCGCGAGCGAGCGGAGAGGATTGAGAATCAAAGTGAATCTTTGATGAGCGCGCGCGCGCGCGTTACTTCTAAACACAAAGGGGGGTGATCGTCTGTTCAGAATTTCCAGCCCACTGCCTCTTCTTCGGGACTAATGCCGATCGTGCCCGGGCCCGGCGCCGAATTCGCGGACTTCGGCGACCGTGATTTGCTCTTCGGTTTGACATCCGAGGAAGCTTGGGTGAATCTCACCGAGGAGGATCTACAGGTAAGTAGAGAATTCGTATTTCTTTTGCTTTTAATCTTCCGGTTCTTTTCCTTTCAAACCGGCTCTCAATTTACTATACTATTTTCGTAATATCTGTGTTGAAAATCTTCCTGGTTCTTTTAAAGACCGGAACTGCAATTGCACGTTTCGCGACGGCTCTCACTGAAAGAATAAAAAAGACGCGAAATATTAATTACACCGTGTTCCTTTTGTCCTTCGATCCTCCGGTTCTTTTGAAAAACCGGCTCGCAGATTGCAATTCTATGCTTCGCGACGTCCCTCTGTTAAAAGAATAAAAAGCGCCGGACTTATTAATCTGTTTTTCCCTGCTGCTATTATTGGTGATGTACTCTTATTTCTATATCGATTTTATCAAGAAATTTATATTAGAGCGAAAGTAATTCCCTGATTAATGACCGGGCACGCTTCATGCATAATATGTAATTGACATCGATTGGATATAGTTTGACAAATTGACGAGCTTTACATGATTGCATCACAAGCCTGCACTCGCCAATCGTTCCGGATATTATTGACTCACCGATGGTCACGGCCACTGGCCACCGGCGCTATAATAGCCGTGCGTCTGCTTCGCGATCATGATCGAATTAATAATCCATACGCAGACACATCGGCGGAAACGTCGCTCAATTGTCCGTACATTGTAAGATCTCCCGGTGATTATTCCAACGATCGACGCGATGCGAAGTCGGGAAATTATAAACCCGCGCGCAAATAAATTTGTAAAACGCTCGACGCTCGCGAAACAGCGTGCGCCGCCGCGCCGTGAAAAACTAGCGAAGCTCCCTGCCGGTTTGCAGAACGGCCTGAACGAGACGAGGAGGGACCGTATATTGCGCACTTACGTCCGGAACACCTACCGCTACCATTTGCATGAAATCTATTCGACTCTTCGGAACGAGTACACCGACTGGGAGCGGGGCGAGCAGAGTCCCGTGGCGATCTGCGAGGGTCTCTTATCTCTCCTCGGAGACGGCCAAGTCGCCGCGCCGCTCCTCAGACTGGCCTTACTGCATTCGGCCTCGGAGGGACGCGGCTACTTCCTGCACTTCCAGCCGGGCGAGCAGTCGAGCCAGAGGGGCGAGGAGGTGCCGTATCTCCTGGGTATACCTCTTCTGCGCGGCGGGGTCACGTCCGCGCTGCCCGCCTCTGGCAACTACACCCCCGCCGATGAGAATCTGTCGAAACTGCTCGTACATTACCTGGCTAACTTCGTGAGGCGCGGGTAAGTCCTTTTACCGCCTCCCTTTCGCTCCCCGCGTCTGGCGATGCAATTAATGTCCGGCTACGTCCATTAAAGGGTTCGGAATGAAAGTGAGAATAGTTACCTCGCGACTAATAGGAACGCGCGTTGCAGATCCTACGCAGATTTTTCCAGCTTAGTTGACCGACATTTTTGAGAGTCAACTAACGCTGTCCCGGGCGAGATACACGATCGGCATTAATCGCGACGACACTACGACGCGAAATAACTAACGCACGGGCGCGAAAGGGTTAATCGGATAAGTGAACCTCTCTCGTTAATTCACCCGGTTCAAAGTTCTTTGGAACTTAAGCATCGCATACACTTCGATTACTCTCCATGAGGGGAGTCTGAAGGCTGGTAGTGGTAGTAAGGGTAAAGTTACAGCTGCGAGAGGATTTTGGAGCCAAACTCCCGCAAAGGCCGTTAACGCGCTCAGCGAAAGCTCGCAATCTCGAAGTAGAGTAGACTTGTTAGTGGCAAAGACGCGAAGTGATTTTGGCATCTCTAATTGCGGATCGGCGGCTATCTGGATGATTACTCTGTCATCGACACGGCGGATTTTCGCAACTAAAATTTTGCCTCTGAATTGTAGCGCGGGATACGCGTCAAGTCGCTTCGGGTCTTGATACAATTTTCCTTTCAATTTCCAAAATTTGTTTCAAACAATTTGCCGCAAATACGTCTAATTACGTAACAATGTTTATTCAATTATTTCAAACAAGCAGTGATATTGTTAATTAATTGCGTGAAAAATAAATTATACAATTTCACGCGGCACTCTTCGATAAACGTTTAGCGATCGAGTAAAATGGAAGCGTGAAGCGCGAGAAAGAGCGTTAAGGGGATTCTGCACTTTTTGCACCTTTTGCTCCTAGAACTGTCAATTCATGAAGACATTTAAGTGTAATATAGAATTTATGCGGCTTTTGTGTACAGACCAGCAGTGTCCCACTATTCGGGCTAAATCAGAGAACCGCGTGGTATCATTGAAATTAAGTTTAGGAGCCTAACAAGAAATCTATTCGCTCATGAGTTTGCAAATAAGTTATAAGTTACCTTTAAGTTATTTCAGTGAATAGATTTCTTTTTAGGCTTCGAAACTTAGTTTCAATGATACCATGCTGTTCTCTCATTTAGTCCGAACAGTGGAACACTTTCGATCTGTAGGCATAATTGGTGTATTACACAAATGTTTTCGTGAATCGACAGTTCTAGATGCGAAAAGTGCAAAAGGTGTAGAATCACTCCAGCAACCCTTTCAGCCTCGCGGGAGATTTCCACTTGTCAGAGTCGCGGTTCGCTCGTTGTTTTAGGGACCCGAATGGCGCGAGTCCCTTGTCCACGGCACTGGAGAACGGCCTGACGATGAGTCCGCCGTTCTGGGACTCGTACGATTCCATAAATCAGCTGTACTTGGAGGCCGCTCACAACCCGGAGATGCGCTCTCACTACAGAGGCCACAAAATGTCGCTCTGGCTGAATCTGCTGCCGCAGCTGCACCGGCCGGGCTACGAGATCAACATGCGCCATCATCATCTCGCGGAGAGCCCCGGCCTATACGAGGGTCCGGTGAGGCCGCAGAGCACGGCCGTGCCTCTGCCGGCACCCCCGTTACCCATGCCATCCCCCACGGAGCCCTCGTCGATACTGACCGCGCTGTCGACCACGGAGTGCACCCCGAACGCGACCGTCGCCACGACCATCACGCCCACCACCTCGCGAACGTTGCAGATCTCGAACCTGGGCCCGGGCCCCAACAACCTCCTGCGCAAACTTGCGTCCAGCCACTACCAGAGCTACACCACGGCCCTCACGGTCACCATCGCGGTAGGCGTGTTTCTGCTGCTGCTCAACATCCTGATCTTCGCGGGGATCTACCATCAGCGCGACCGGAGCACTAGCGGCGGCGGTCTGTCGGGCGCGTTCAGCAACAAAAAGAAGGAGGAGTTTCTGGAGGCCGGCTGCTCCGGCATGGACACCTCGGTTTCGGGCAAACAACGACTGCCGCCCTCCATGAGCCTAATGGACTCGCCGTCGTCGATGCTGCCGCCGCACAAGGCGAAGCTCGTGCAGGAGCTCGAGCTGCAGCTGCAGGAGTTCCAGTGCTCGCCGCCGCCCGGCGGCGGCAAGCGGATTCTGGAACCGCCGTCCTACAGCAAGAACCCGTGCATCCAGCGGACCCGCACGCCCTCGCCCTGCGTGGACGCCACTATCGCCCAGATGGATGACGTTAACACTCTCGGCGGCCTCCACCTCGACAGCGAGGACGAGAACGAGGAGGTGCCGGAACCGCCGCCCCCGCCCAAGGTCCCGGCGCCGAACGTGGGTCTCACGTGTCCCGGGATTTTGCGACAGCCCGGGACGCCCGGTAGCGCAAAGAAACGTGTGCAGATTCAAGAGATCTCCGTGTGATAGAGTGCGGGATCCAATGGTCTCTCGAGATCTTTTGATGTTGGAGGACGCGATTCGCCGTGAACGAGACACGCGCGACAAGAGGCCCGGCGCTGATCGAGATCAAGTGTGGACGAGGGCCGCCTTTGAACTCTGATTATTATCGGGGATACACTCTCTCCGAGACGCGAGTGTTTCTCGCTCTTCTCCGTCGCTGTCGAAGCGAATTTCGCTCCTCTCGTGAGATTATTGTTTCCTCGTATTTCCATTTGAGAATAAATAGCACGTTCTCGCGCTCGCGTGTTCGTCGGTTATCTTGCGCGAGATGAAAGCGCGATCGCTTTCGCGTTAAGGCGAGGGTGAACGTTTGCGACGGCCGTGTTTGATAAACCCCTTCTCGCGACCGTTCTTGCTCTTAAAACTCGTCACGGACTGCTGAACGCTGCAGAAACACGTTGAAGCTTACGATCCTTGTTGTTCCTGAGTGATCCTCGTCAGGAATGGACGCCGACGTGTGCGTAGCGCTTCGCGCGACTGAAGAAAGTGAAACATAATTTTTACCCCGCTCCAAACGGAGCTGTACAGTGCCGTGTGTGCCCACGTACAGGTTGAAAGCGCAGCGTTGCAAGTGTGCTTTATTTCGAGGGGTTTCTCGCCGAACCTTTCGACGCGCGGTCCACGTCGCGTAACGCAATTCGAATGAACGCGCAAAACGGGCACGTAAACACACGAGAGAATACACAGGAGGTTCGTAGCGGTCCCTTTGTATCCGAGACGTGAATCTTCGTCCGTCCATTAGGGACGGCAACGTCTGGCGTTTGAAATTCACGGATCGGCCGACCCTTAAGTTCATTGACTCTTCAGCCGGCTCCCAGTTCCGGCGGTCGTTGCGGCGCGGTGTGTCGCATAAACGGGGGATTGACGTAATCTCAGGAATAAAAGGAGATGCAAAAGACATCTCGCGGCAGGCACACACGGTGTCCGTCACGGTGCTCGGGCTAACTCGGGCCCGAATCTTGCCACAACGCTAAATGGAATTAATCGAGGAATTGGTAGTTTTGGGCTTCGACTCTTAGGTTCATAAGACGGCGAGAACGACTAGTTTACCGATACGCATGTTCGTGCGAGAGAGAACTTGCGTGAGAGACATGGGACGAAAGGGTGGAAAGAAATGAGTGAAAAAATGAGAAGGGAAAGCGCGGGGAAAGGGGAAACTTTGTGAGATGCTAGCTTTCGTTAGCGTAATTGGGCGCGCGCGCGCGTGTGGGTGTGGGTGTGTGTGTGTGTGTGTGTGTGTGCAATCTTGTGCAAGGAATTAGAACACGTTTGACACGAGATAGGGCTAAACGGTTTAACGGCAACCGAGGGAGTACTTAAGAGGATACAGGTGACTCTCTCCGGTACTTGCTTTAAAAATTGTCCTGGTGTAACGTGAAATTGCGTTTGCGGAGAAGAATTTCGATACGCCAAGTTCTGACGTTTCCATCGCAGGCGACTGCGTTATACACTCGAGCCATCTTTACGATGTATACATTTGTCAGAAAGTGTCGCGTTATGAGTTTCCGCTGACTTTAATGGTCACCTTAGTGGGGGAGGGGGGCGGAGGGAGGGGAGAAAAGTTGCGTTGTTTCAGAAAGTTAGAAATTTGCTACAACTTTTTCACGACCGCTATAAAAGAAAAGTATTTAAATGAGAGTTCCTATACGTTCGACCAATTGGAAATGGCCCGCGCATAAATGCCACGAATTATTGGTAGTGTGTCATCTTGATTCCGCGCCCGATTGAAGTTGATCTATTCTTGTTGCGCGCTGAAACCTTTATTCGCTCTCGTCTACTCGGAAATATCTTTTCTCTTAATCCTTTTGACAACCATTTTGCACACTCGGCCACTTGGCAGTGACGGCAGAATTTCGTGCAAGTTAAAATTTGTCGTTGAGAGTCACCTGTATATTATAAATTTTCATGCAATATTGGAAATATGGTAGTTGGAAAGTGAAAAGTGTTTGGGTCCATTTTAATTTTAATATTTTCCTTCGGGGTGCTTAGACGTGTCGATCGGCTACTAATATACGATTCGAACATTTCGAATCTGACCGAATCTGTTTGATACTACCGACATGAGCTATTTATTACACCAGTGATTACAATTATTTATTACAAAATGATGTAAGATGTGGCAGCAAAACGTATATTTAGTTTGTTTTATGGGGGCGTTTAGGATCAAAACTTACTAAGTCTATGAGATATGCTGCGAGGATGACATTTGATATTGTTGCAAAATCCCCCAAAGAAATTGCTATTGAAACATAAGTCGGACATTTTGTATGTAAAATAATATATATATATAGGGAGGCTAGGGCAAGTTTTGATCTTGGCCACGTCTCGCACAACGCTCTTCGAAATATAATTGGAAAGGCGGCAAGAATTGAGTCTTAACTTGACAGCCCCGAGAAAACAAGTCCGTCGCGAGAGTATCAGAGTAGAGAGAGACAGGCGAACCCTGTCGTAAGCAACCCCTACGACCGTTACCCCTGGTCCACAATCTTGCTTTACCCCTGATCTACAATCTTGCTTTAAGTAAACTGTAAGCCTTAAGCCGTAAGAAATTAACCAATCACAGGCATTTATTCTCCTCATGCTCACCTGTGATTGGTTAATTTTCTTACGGCTTAAGGCTTACAGCTTACTTAAAGCAAGATTGTGGACCAGAGTTTAAGTAAGCGGTAAGCCTTAAACCGTAAAAAATTAACCAATCACAGGTGGGAGCGAGGGGAATAAATGCCTGTGATTGGTTAATCTCTTACGGCTTAAGGCTTACTGCTTACTTAAAGCAAGATTGTGGACCAGGGGTAAGACTTTTCGAGTAAATGAGGAAGAGAAACCGCGCGAGGGGCCACCGTAAGTAAACCTAACTCCTAATTAACCTAGTCACGGGGAAACTTGCCATAATTGATTCGATTGCACTCGCGAGTGTTATCATTTACCGGCAAGACGCTGAGGATGTTAAGACATATTGCCAAAGCGGGGGCGGGGGAGGGTGGGGACTGAGTGTCGCGCTATACAAAATCGGGGAGCAGTTCGATCGATCCGCGAAACGCTAGGGTAATAAACAGTCGTTGATCGAATTTGGATACGATCGTCAAGTTAGCTTCATTTGCATCGTAATTAACGCGGAGGGGGCTCATTGTCATTTGCGCGGCTAGGATTGAGTCCCGTGACAGTTCTCTACTGTCCTACCGTTCCTTTCGTCTGCAGATTCTTCAGTCAATTAAAAACCGGCTTCTTTTCTCGACGGGGTTATTGCGATTGAACTCTTTATAATAGCACAATTTGCAAGTTACGCGTCCGTATATGTAATATATTTTGCATCACTTCTGCATTGTGAACTATAATACAAAATTTCGTATATGTACATATATCTATTGTGACTTTAGAGTTACAAATCGTTCTCTTGTAATAGAATATTTATTAATTGATATTCAACAATATTCAATTACGTCCCGCGATCAATGTTTTCCATTTACCGGTTGTGCAATTTTTTCATAAGCAAAAAATACCCGGTTATAGAGAGTTAAATCGCTCTTTAATTAGAAACGAAAATGGACGATTTTTGGCGAAGCGAGACGCAAATTCGCGCAAAAGTGTGAAAAATGCAGGAAACTTTAATCCTCGGCACATTTGGAAAATTGTAACAAGAATTCGAAGACGCTCAGCTAAGATTTTTCTCGCAAGTAAAGCCAACGGCACACGATACTATTTTTCCAACTGGATTGCGTACGAGAACCAATGAGTACGCAGAGTTTTAGATCAAGTGACTCGAGGCTAAATCCTGATTGGCTCGCGTGAGCGATCCATTGGGGAAAAATAGCATCGCGTGTCGTTGGCTCAAGATTCGGCTGCAACTTCATTAGGGGATCCGCAGATGAAAGAAATAACGATACTTGTGCACGACAGTGGATAATACATACAGAATTAACGAGGAAAAGGACACTATGGACATAACACAGATAGCCGAAGGCAAACTGACGTGCTGCCACAATCTATGTTGTGTCTATAGAAAGCGCACAGATACAAAAGACACACTCATACGTATATACAACTATCAATGTTTGGAATGTTGGGATTTGTTTAAATAAATACTTAAAGATTCAAAGCGTAACTCTCTGATGGCGTTCTAATTTTAGGTGTATCCTACGTCTTCCCCATCGCCTCCTTAGCCCTACAGGAATTGCGTTTGTAATCTTCATTAATTATTGTGTGCAATATAAATTAAATGCCGCACAAACAGTGTCTCATTGTTCAATCCAAAGTTTCGTTCTTCATCCAAGACGACCCCGACCGATTGGAAAGTAGCAACGCGCTTACAGTATCGCCTTCGGGAATTTGTTAAAATGACTCTTTCATTTGACGAACGTGAGTATCTATTATTCGAAAGAGAAACAAGACTATGACATCGCGAGCGCACGACGTTAAGCAGATGCGCGCAGTTCTCGAAGAGGCAACGGTGGACCAGCCTTCAGGGCTGACGAAAGGGTGAGGAGGAGAGCGAGAAAGAGAGAGAAAGAGAGAGAGAGAGAGAGAGAGAGAGAGAGAGAGAGAGAGAGAGAGACAAAGCGTGAAACAAAGTAGAAAGATCAGAGTGCGCGGACTGCCTATCGGCTCCCTTCTCGCGCCTGACTCGCATTGACGTCTCGCGGTTTTCTTCCCCGTCAAGGCGCGAGCGGGGGCGGTCGAAGCTCGAGATTTAATAGGGTGCTTCCCGCCTCTCGTGGAGCCGCGCAACGAGATCCGCCGCGGGCTGAGGTATAATTAGTCATGCCGTACAATACCACACAGCGGCAGTAGACCGAATGAATAACTGTATACATTTATGTATTCGCCGCGTGCTGTGCGCGCTGCAACGAGCGCAACCGGTGCCGGTGCGACTCGCGGTCGGGGGACGCGCGGGGATGTTCGGTAATTGCGGATACGAGCAAAACGCCGGGGTCCTCGGCGATACGGGCGAGACACGAGGGACACCTCGAGTCGCATCCTGCGGCGCACGGCAGCGGGAGACGTTCGTGACTTCTCTAAGTTTTATTAAATCACGTTTCCATTTGCAAGTAACGAAAAGCGATTTAATTTCCCTTTGACGAAAGAGAGGCTGAAAAAGCGATCGCATTTATTTCATCACGGCGTACCGTTGGCGTCAAGGATTTAACGGCGCGCACTCGTGTTAAATGCAATCCCGGTGAAAAATGGATCAAGCGCGCGCCGCGGATCTGTATAACTTTTGCCGTTGCGGCAAGTGGCAGCCTGATATTGATATTGATATTGACGCCCGGCGTCTGCGCGCGACACTGAAATTCGCGTTTTCCACCGTTTATTAATAAAGATCTCAATCTCCGCAATCGGTCCATTCGGGGGATTCAGTGGATCGCGCGCCGATGCGCTCTTTCGCGCATCGGAAACAATGTTTTCGCCGCGCGTCCCGAATCGGGAAATCGCTCCTCTTTCCGCGACGTCCGTACTCTTTGGCCGGTATTCATAGTCCGTTCTTATATTTAAGATCATCTTAAGTACACTCTTAACCGTATTGGCCTCTTAAGACAACACTTAAGATGATTTTGAAATAAGAATCGACTATGGATACATCGGCCTTTATGTTTTCGGGGACTCGCCGAGGCAAAAACTGTTCGCAACGAGATTCGATCGGCCCGTTCGTTGTAATTTTCTTCCTTGTTTTTTTTTCTAACGAAAGCGCGAACGTTTCTATCAGCTCAAATCGGTAGAGACACAGCAGGTTGTCTTAATCGGTTTAGCTGTTTGATCGTCACAACTGATCACGCGCACACACCTGCGTACCCGCGACCTTTTTCATTTTTTTTATTTTGCCAAACGCGATGATCCGGATTCTTTCTTTTTTTTTCATGCAGTTGCAGCGATATAGCGTAAGCTCGTTACACTTTCCGCGGGATCGTTCCCCTCGTCTGCGCTTAAAATGAAGGAATAAATACTTTCCCCTTACGAAGCGCGCAACGTGATCTTTCATTAATGCTTATTCTACGATGGACGCAGGGCCGCGAGACGCTAAGCCGCGGCGCAAGAAAGTGATTGGCAAATGTATGGAAAAATTTCAAAAAGCTCTCAGAAAACTCTTGGAAACGCCGCGTCGTCCCACGATTGCAACGTTTTCAGGATAAATTATAAAAGAAAATTCTCCCCGTGTACGTCAAAAAAGCACAACTTCAACATTTTTTCTATCTTTTATTTCATCGGTGACCGGGTCTAAAGTTTCGTGCACCGATAGATAAAAATTTGCAACTGCGACATACTTAAATTTCAATTTTTTTCTACTTTCGGTCGGCTTATGCGGGAGCCGCCGTACGCGCCATCCCGCCGGCCCGGCGTCAATGGGATCGCGTGGGCAAAACGACTAAATCATTCCGGCCGAAGGGACGGGGGGATCATTAAGAGAACAAAATAATCTGGACGTGCGGAAGAAGAGAGACCGCGCGGCGCGACACGGCCCGCCATTTAGAGCGGAAAGAACAGCAGGACGGTAGAATCCTCTCGTTTCCCGCGGGCGAATGTGGGTTATCGCGGTTTATAGACGTCGGGCCGGCGCTAATTGATAATCCGATGCTATTTTTACGCAGCCGTTGCGACTAAATGGCAGCCGCGAGTTAGTCCCGGTTGAAAGAAAATCGATAAGGTCGCAACGGCGGCGGCGGTTTACGCGTGAAAGCGGCGCGGACCGGAGGCGTTAAAACGAGGTGTCCGTTTACCCTCTTCCGGCGGGACGTCGGAATTGCGAGAGAGGAGCCCCGGACTTACGTACCTTTAATAACAAAAGTTAAAACGCCGGGGACAAGCCGGGACGTGGCACGCGCGTCGATTGACTTGCCAACAAATCGCAATTGAATTGGATCAACTTCTCTGCCGAGGGAGACAAAATGAGGCGACGATGTGGCACAAAGGTGCGCTACATGTCAGAAATGAAAAGACCCGAGGCTCCAGCAAGCTCCACGTTCATCATGAGCTTTTCCCACGCTTTCAGACCGGACGGAGCGTCGTGTGCGAGCGCGTCCATTTAACGTCCCACGAAATGCCATTGCTTCATGTAACTCGCCGTAATATTTTATATACACAGGCACTTTCGTTTTACTCTCCCTCTCAAGTTTGTCTCCCTCTTAGGTCTTCGGTATTATACATTAATGCAGCCGCCCGTTGTCTATATTCACTTAGAGATATAAGCGACGTCGTATACTTGCTTCGACGACGGGGCGGAGGACGGGAGGGGCTGGGAGGGCGGAGGGCGGCGGCGAGGGCACGTTTTGCAGATGAAATACAGTGCCGCGCGCGATAAATGGGTGCTGACACGATGCTTCACTGCAGAGACGTGCCCTTTTACTGTGAACCTAGCTTTATTCTCCGCTCTCCGTGCTTTAAAGCGACTTCGGTATAGGTCATGTTGCCGCGGAAGTTGCCTCGCTTTTGTTTGCGCCTTGACACCCGACCGGTTGTCAACGTCAGTATCCATTTTCCATTCTTTAAGAAATCGATAGGCGCTATAAGCTCGGC